ATAAAGAAAAATTTGAATTTGAAAAAAAATTTTAAATTCTATTACTTTTAAAATTCATAATTTTAGTTAAAAAAGTGACTAAAAACTTAAGCGCGAATTGTTGCTTATTATTATTATACTATACACAGTAAATCGTGAGGTATTAAAAAGTGTTGCAGATTAAATTAACACCAAAAAAGATTAAAATATTCAATTTTGGTGTTATTTATAAAAGAAAATTCAATTAAACTTTTTCAAAAAAAATAATTTCAAAATTCAATTATTTCTAAAAATTCACGCTAAATTGCTTTTAATATTCAATTATAATCTAAAATTTTAACTGAAATTCATTTTTATGAAATGAAAATCAATTTTTATTAGAAAATTCTACGAGAATTCAATTATTTAAATGCAAAAGTAAATAATTTATTGAATAATTGAATGTTTCTCAAAATTCAATTCTCATATAGAATTTTATTAACAAATTTTTAAATAATTGAATTCTTTTGTCGAATTTTATTAAAACTTGCATGAACATAATTACTTTTTTCAAGGAATTCAATTATAATTGTATGAAAAATAATTGAAACGCTGCGATGAGTTTTATTATTAGTAAAAATAATTGAATCCTTAAGAAGAATTTTATTACTCTTGAAAATAATTGAATTTCTGCAATAATTTCCAACTTCTCTAAGCGTAAATTTTTTTCTACTGTTTTTAACTAAAATTCTTCAATAAATCCATTATTATTTTTAATAATTTTTAAAAAAGTTCTTTGAGAATTTTCAAATCTATTAGTTTACAATTCAATATTACAAAATTTCAATTATTCGGAAATTCTGCAATTAAATATTTATTAAAAAATAAAAACTTGAAATAATTTCAATAAAAATCCTATTAAACTTTTTAAAAAAATTAATTCTTCAGAATTGTTTGTCAAAACTATGAAAAATTTAGAATTTCAATGATTTTGAATTGAAACTTTTTCAAAATTTAATTATTTCTAAAAATCTACATTATAATGCTTTTAATATTTAATCATAATCTAAAATTTTAACTAAAATTAATTTTAAAAACCATTTTTATTAGTAAATTCAACGAGGATTCAATTATTTAAATACACAAATGAAGCATTTATTAATTTCATGTTTCTTGAAATTAAATTCTAATAAAAAATGTTATTAACAAATTTTTTAAATCATTAAATTCTTTGGACAAATTTTAATAAAATTTTTAAGAATAATTACATTTTTCGAAAAATTCGATTAAAATTGCATTAAAAATAATTGAAATTATGCAATGAGTTTTATTATTTATGAAAATAATTGAATTCTTAAAACAATTTTATTATTCATGAAAAGAATTGAATTCTTACGGAAAATTTTTACAACAAGTTTTTTAAATAATAGAATTCTTTTTGAAAATTTTATTGAAATAGTAGATATTGAAAATCATTGAATTTTAGAAAACTTTTGAAATTAATTGAAATTTTGACAAGAATTTAATTTAAATTTTGAAAAAGATTTGAATTTCGGAGAAGAATTTTTTTAGTTATAAAGATAATAATTGACATTTTGATGAGAATTTTTTAAAAACTTTTTGAACATAAGTGAATTCTTTAGACTAATTTTAATAATAAATAATTAAATGAAAATTCATCACAAAATAAATAATTTATTTAATATAATATTATTGAATTTATCACTTAGTAAAATTATATTAATATATATAAGAAGTTATCAATCCTCCTAGTCAATCAATATAAAAAGGAAAAAGAAAAAATCTTTTTTTAACGTTTCGACAGCACAGCTGTCCTCTTTAGAAACTGCAAAATTAATTATAAATTACAAACAAAAAAAATAAAACAAAAGAGTCACAAAAATACCAACAAAATTAACACACAATAAAAAAAAATACATAAACAAATTTTTTTGTTTGTTTACCGTAAAAAAAATTATTAAAAAAATTATTTATAATGACAATTGCTCGCACTCGTTACGAAATATACTATTTTACGGTAAACAAACAAAAAAATTTTTTTATGTATTTTTTTTTATTTTGTGTTAATTTTGTTGGTATTTTTGTGACTCTTTTGTATCTCTTTTATAAAGAGAATTGAAATTTTGACGAGAATTTTTTTAAATTTTTGAACACAATTGAATTTAGTAACTATGTTACTATGTTAGTTCGTAAGTTAGTAACTAACTTACTAACTTACTATTCTCCCTGGTGAAGCTAAATTCGTTGATTTTTTCCAAATCGTTGACTTTGATGTTTGATTTAAAGTAAAATTTGATTCATAGTTAAAAATAACAGCAAAATAGATTATTTTAATCCTTTCTGGTGTTAATTTAATCCCAGAGGGATTGAACTGTTGCAGATTATTTTAATCCATTCTGGCGTTATTTTAACACCTCACGTTTTACTGTGATTTATTTTGATATTATACTTATTTATTTAGTAGTTACTTCCTTTTAATCAGAATAGTTACTTTCTCAATTTTCCAGACAGAGTAAAAAAAGTTAAAAAAAACTGTACAGAGAAGTTTATTAATTTAATCTCCATTAGGTTAATTAGACTCTAATTGCTAATATCGGTACCAGCATTATAATAAATTCGGTGTTCATTACGCGTTTCGATTTCTTTATTGTCATCATTATTCTATTATTATCATTGACCCCATCAAATGAGATAATGGTCGTACCATTGTCTTCGTTTAACAACTTCCGCTAATAACTCTAATAATGAATATAAAGACAGCAATTTTATTTATTAAAACTCGCCAAAAAAAAAAAAAAAACAGATCCAAAAATATTAGTCTAACATTTTACATTCTTATTCTTCTATTCTATACATGAAAGAAACGAAAAGTTCTTATAAATTAGTCCACATGTTCATCAGTCATATTGAGCATTTTGGGCGCAATCAACGACTATATTTATACAGAAAAGGGTTATAATGTCTGACGGTTCAAAGGCGAATTTCCGATAATTATTATCGATTCGTTAAACGTGCATACAAAAGTGGTAATTGGAGGAAAAGAGAAGATCGTATAATACAACTGGGTCTGTCAATATAAACGGGGTATGTATATAGTTTTTTCCCCTTCGCATGATTTCGCGTCTTTTGTATTACGTCATTGTACTCGGGAGAGTAATCTAAAAACTTGACCCCACTCCTCCTCTCTCTTTAGTTTTCTAATTCATTCGCTCTCTTCGTAATAGCATCGACCAAGAGATTGACAGTTTAAAATATGTATAATGGATTGACGTATGGCGAGTTTCCATGCCACCCTGCGAATATGGGTAGAGGGGGAGGATCACGACGCTTCTCTTCTGTACTCGTCGATGCTGCTCGATGCGACGAGCGGATTAAATTGGACGCCGTGAATTAATCGGCTTCTGTTTGAGTGAAATTGGGCGAGTGTTGTTAGGAAACGTGAGCATCGGGACCCTGGTTGCCATTGTCTGCTCTGACCCCTGGACTCTATCTCTACTCGAGCCAAATTCACCCCCTCTCCATCTACTCTTTAAATCACTGCACGCGTAAGTAAACCAATCGCTGTCTATGGAAATATGCTATTCTTCATATATATTGTGTTGAAAATTCATTAAACTCGATCTTTTCCTATTAAGATTTATGATCATTTGAAATAATTTTTCATAATACAAGGGGGACTTTGTGCGCCAAGCCCCCAATTTCAATTTATGGCCAATTTTATAGAAAAACTTTAATTTTAGGTAAAATTTGACTTGTTTTTTGAATAATGTTGGCGTAACGTAACGGCCCCTAAGGAAGTTGAATCCCGGGGGAAAATCTTTTTATTATATTATATAGAAAGATAGATTAATAAATATAGCTCATTTTGATGATAAAAACCATAAAAATCGTAGTCTAAAGCTTTTTTGGTATAGGTACTATAGTATGCCCAAAAAGCTTTAGATTATGATTTTTATGGTTTATTTACAGAAATAACATAAAATATTAGCCATATTTGATAAAACAAATATTAGGTTAAATAAATGTTATGAATTTTTCGGAAAATAAATTTTTTTTTGTGTATATATACAATAACCTCGACAGCACCGAAACTTTCCTAAAAATTTATTAAATATTTACTTGCAATATTTCGGCATATTTAACTGAAAAGTTTAGTGAAAATTGTGTAAAGATTTAAATGTCCCGATAATTAAATGTTTAGCGCGAAACTTTCCCGAACATTTAAATTACATTTTCGCCTAATTATAATTTAAATTATAGGTAATAACTTATAAATATATATATAAAACAATTGTTAAACCCACTTATTTGTTGAGTGTTTTTTCTTTTGTAAATTTTCTCTTGTTTTCAAAAAATGTTTCAACGCTTCGATTTAGTTTAGTAAACAAAAAAAAAAGAAAGAAAGAAAGAGAAGAAAGGAATGAATCACAGGCAGAAACTAATGTTTATTCAATTAGCAATATATCGAGAGGGGGGTTTTTTTCTGTCAGAAAATAGTTATGTGATATTCTTAAAACAAGAGAGAGAGAGAGAGAGGGGGGGGGGGAATTCGAGACAAGGTAATAACACATAACTCTTGACAGATCAGATACGAGTCAGTGTACGTTCACGACTCTCTCCTTATCCCGAAGGTAGAAACCCTACAACAGCGATTATGTTCTTTTCAGGGTCGTATCGAATGATTATTCCTTACTATCTGTCATTTTCTTGCTTTCTAAGAAATTTCCTCTCGTATAATGAAAATGTCTCTTGGAATTTTTATAAATATTATTTTTTTTCCTTTTTTTATAACTAATGATGATATTCATCATTTACTGCCTAATGGATATTCATCATTTTCTTTTGCTACTGTGAAAAAAGATTGTTTGTTTTTTTCACATCAAGTTTATTTGAAATTTATTTTAATTATATACCGCGTGTTTATTACCTTCTACCTACAAGTTTAGAATTTTATTTTTAAATAATGATTCGTAATTGTAAAATCTCTAAAATTTATTTGAAAAATGGTTTTTTGTTAGTAGAAGCTAAATAATTTCAATTAGTAAATTAGTAATTTAGTGGTAAAGTCATTAGGTGCTTTTGGCTATGAAATATATTTTATTAGTAATATTAAAAATTAATATTTCATTTTTGCGTTTTCTTCGTGAGACAATATTCTTTTTTTTCTCATTTCCTGCGAAATCCCCCGGTGATTTCACATAATGCTCAAAACTGCTGACAGCATATTTGGTTTACAAGGCCATTTACATCCCTACATTTCGTACGTGGGCAAGATAAACACGATTCGTAGCCAAATTCGATGAGCCCCACACCGCGTCAGAGTCCTCCGGGGTGGAATTTTATGATTGCCGCTCCACCAATAATATATCCAATCCTCCATACCCTTTTTTTCCCTCTATACCTTTAACGTCGCGGTATCCCGTAAAAAACTACATACGTTGTCCTGTTTTTACGTCTCCTTTGGGTTTTGTCGACGTCCTATATTTTTCCCACCATTACACACCTCATAAAGCAGAGCATACCGAAGTGATTATATTTCAGATGGATTCTCTGAAAAAAATTCATAACAATAATTATTATTTATATAATAATACATTATTTATAATATTTATTTATTTATTTGAAAAAAAAATTATCTAATTAAAAATTCAATTATTAGAAAATTTTTGATAATTTTTTAGGTTTGAAACTATAGCAGGGCTCGAACCAGTGAAAGTATTTAAAAATACGGACTTTAAAAATGTTTAACTAATTCAAATCTTTTTGATAAAAATAAAATATGAATTGGAATATATAGTTTTAAATTTTTAATATTATTATAATTATAATAATCATATATTTTGACATGGGAAATTCAGGGAAAAATCAGGAATTTTTCTTAAAAATACTGAAAAAAATTAAATTTTTAGAATTCATAAGAAAATTCTGAATTTTTGGGTATTTTTTCCTTGACTCATAAAACTGTAAACTTACCACGAATTCTAATACAAAACCTTCAATTTTTTCATTTTCTAAAAAAATTTCTTTTTAAATAACTTAAATCTAAAACAACTATTATAAAATAAATAAATTATTTAATGAATAATTTTACTTAAATATTTTAAAATTAATTCAATTTTAAAAGAGTTGCCTTTACAATTTTTATAAATAAATAAACTTCAAACGGTTTTAATTTAAAATTTTCAAAAATTTCAATGTTGAATGAATTTAATTAGAAATTTTAATGAACTTACATTTTTGAAAAAATTTAATAATTCAAAATCTACTAAAATTAGTTAAATTTGTCAATAAATATTTAATTAATTATTAAAAATAATGGATTTGTAGAAGAATTTTAGTTAAAAACAGTAAAAAAAAATTGAATTTTGAAGAAGTTACAAATTATTGCAGAAATTCAAAAAATTCAAATTTTCAAAAGTAATAGAATTCTTAACACAAAATTCAATTATGTTAAAAATTTACAATAAAATCTCGACAAAATCCAAATTATTATCTTTATAAATAAAAAAATTCTTCTTCAAAATTCAATTATTTTCAAAACCTTTAAGAAAATTCTTGTCCAAATTTCAATTATTTTCAAAAATTTTCTTCATTTCAATGATTTTTCAAAATCTACTATTTTAATAAAAAATACCCAAAAGAATTCGATTATTTCAAAACAATTTTAACAAAATTGCACGCAAACATTTAATTTTTTTCATAAATAACAAAAATTTTAATGAAATTACATTATTTTTATAAATAATAAAATTCTTAATTTTAAGAAACATTCAATTGTTTAATAAATTATTTATTTTTGTATTTAAATAATTGAATTCTCGTAGAATTTTCTAGTATTTTATTTTAAAATAAATTTTTATTAAAAATTTTAAATAATAATTGAATATTAAAAATGTTAGAGCGTTGTAGAATTTCAATTATTTTTAACAAAATTTTAATAAAAGTTACACAAAAAAATTCAATTATTTTCTATAATTTTAATAAATTTTTTTAAACAATTCAATTATTTTTCTAAATAGTAAAATCTTTGTACAAATTCAATTATTTTCAAAAAAATTTTAATTGAATTCCTCGGAAAAATTCAATTTTTTAAAAGAAATTTTTAGCACATTTCAAAAAAATTCAATTTTTTTCTAAAAATTCAATAAATTCTTCGAAAAAATTCAATTATTTTTACAAGTAGTAAAATTTATCACAAGAATTCAATTAATTTTATAAACAGTAAAATTCTTTGCAGGAATTCAATTATTTTCAAAACAATTTTAATTGGATTTCTCGGATGAATTCAAATATTTTTAAATATTTCCATAAATTTCAATTATTCCCTAAAATTTTAATAAATTATTCGAAACAATTCAACTATTTTTATAAATACTAAAATTCTTTGCAGGAATTAAATAATTTTTAATCCAATTTAAATAAAATTACACGAAAGAATTTAATTATTTTAAAAAATTTCTATAAAATTTAATTTCTACAAGAATTTAAAATTCTCTAAAAATAATTCAATTATTATTCTCAAAATATTTTTAAAAAATTCTGTATGAAAATTAAATTACTGTCAATCCAATTTATAAATATATTCGATAAAAAAAAGAAAGAATTCAATTATTTTCAAAAAATAATAAAATTTTTCTGATAAATTCAATTATTTTGAATATACCTACTTCATTTTAATAAAATTTTTTACAGAAATTAATTTATTTTCGAAACAACTTTAATTAAATTTCTCGAAAAAATTTCATAATTTTCAAATATTTCTATAAAATTCTTCATAATAATTTAATTATTTCTTAAAATTTTAATAAATTCTTTCGGAACATTTTCATTATTTTTATAAATAGTAAAATTCTTTTTATGGAATTCAATTATTTTTATAAATAATAAAATTCATTGAAGAATTTTAATTATTTTTAATATAATTTTAATCAAATTTCTCGAAAAATGCAATTATTCAAAAAAATTTTATAAACATTTTAAAAAGAAAATTTTAAAGAAATATTCAATTGTTCAATAAATAATTTACTGTTGTATTTATATAATTGAATTCTCGTAGAAATAAATATTAATTTGAAAATGAATGTTAGTTTAAATTTTAAATAATAATAGAAAATGAAAATATTTATTATTTGTTAATCATAATTTTTTTTTTAATTTTCTAATTTCTAATATTATTTTATTATAAACTATGAAAATCATGCATATTTTCGATTCGTCAAACAATATTTTTTAAAGGAAGAAAACAATAGCTTACACAGAAACTAACTTCAAAGTGTGGACAAGAATGAAAGACGAAGATTATTATAGTTAATAATATTAAAAGATTAATTAATTGTTTGGAAATTGATTTGCAATTTAGGGAAATTACACTTTTTCTGACCAGCACACTCGTATACCGATCTTTATTTGAGATTCACAATGAAACTCGGGGACGTATCAAAACTTTTGTAATTTAAACTTCACTGAGTGTGAACCTCATTTTCACACTCTCCGCGTAAACAGCTTTCTTCGCTGAATTTGCCGATAGGTACAGGGAACACATTTACTGAAAGGCTCTCATAGTTCACACTTTCGAACTTTAGATTTGTGAGGAAATTTCACTCACTATTAAAATAATTATAGAACGTTATTTATTTTTATTATTGTTATTTATTATTATTAATTCTAGTTTATGCAAATATAATCCCTCAATTTTAATTTACGACTAAAATTATAAATATTATCAACTTGATAACTTAAATTTGGTTTTTAGTCAAATTTTTTAAAAGTGTATTTCTTTTCTTTAAATTCTTTAAAATTTAAAGAAAGTCTTGGCCCAAACTTTGCGCAAAATAAGGGCAATTGACCTAGAGGTGAAAAATAGGTCAGCTTTGACCTAAATTCTGACGTAGCTTAATGCCTATTTGGGTCAATTTGGTTCAAGAAAAAAAAATGTTCTCTGGATCTAGTAGTTAAAGGTAGTGTAGCAAAGGTTTTTCGAAGTAATTAAGTGAGAGTTTCGGTGTACATAGGGTCGCGAGGGTGACTATATGTGGTAACTTTAGAGGTTAATAACTTAAGGGGGTTGGCTGACTGCGAGTGAATATGATATTGTTATGGGGGGTTCATAGCACTCTACACCTACCAAGTACGATCCAAATGTTCCGTGAACTCTACACCAGCTGATTAGCCTCGTGCCACGCGTTATTAATCCGCTAACTCACAACCCCACCTCCATTCTCATAACGTAACCTCTAACAGTCTAACGAGCTCATACCCCCAACTTACACAAGTAAGCAGAAACCTTGTTGTGGCTCCTCAATTTTTCACCTGACTAGAAGGGCTAATTGAATTTCCTAACCGACGATATTATTTCTTTCGTTTTTTTTACTTTTTTTCTATTCCTTGCTTTTTTAGCCTTTCAATTTAGAAAATAAAATATAATTCTAATAAAAATTAGAAAATAAAAAAATATTTTAATTTATACTATTAAATACTCTTTGGTTTTTTCCTCTCTTACGATAACATTTTAATGGAAATGAGAAGCGTCCCCCCACTCCTCAAATGCGCATAGTGTTCCTTTCCCAATTTCGACAATTTAATAATTTCAGAGGGCAGTGAGAAGCGCCCCCCACTCCTCGAAGGCGGAAAGTGGGGAGACGCTTCTCTATAGTTCAAGGCTTGAAATTCAATTCAACTCCGCGAAATTCAACTCAAATAAAATTCTTGGCAAAATGTAAATTATTAAACTAAATGCGAATAAATATATAAATAGTAGAAAAAGGTAGTAAAATAAAAAGAAAATAAACTCGATTCGAAACAAATAGATAATTGAGCCCTTGAAAAATTGATATTCAGGAACGTTTGTCAACGACCATTTGATTTGCAATTCATATGTCGTGAAGACAATGTTTATTACATTCATAAACATTGTTTCCCGTGACTGAAAACATATATATCATCGTATCATTGATTTCATAATGCGGTATCGAGTAGGCAGAAGAAAATTTAATCGCAACATCACCCGGATTCATTATGTCCTGCTGATGGCGATATCGATTCGTTTCGATCGACTCGACTCGGCGCATAAATCGACACGCGGACATGATCATATATAGCATTCCAATACTGTTGTAAATGAATAATTTATTGTCCATCACACGGTGCTTATTAGATTTTCTTAATCAATTTTTTGCCACAAAAATTTAATTTTGTTTTTCCTGATTTTCAGAAAAAATTTTCACTTTTTCCCTGATCCTAAAAAATATTCTGATATGATTAGATGCTCAAAAAAAGATTCAATTATTTATAAGAATATAATAATAAAATATGAAGAAAGTGATCACACCGAGTCTTCGACTCGGAGTGATCACTTTCTTCATATTTTATAATAATTACAGATTTTTATATTTTTTTACATTATAATATAAGAATACTTAATAACTTCTTCAAAATAATTTTCATCATTTCAATTGAATTATTATTTTCTACAATTTTTTTACTAACATTCTTCTTTAAATCAATATATTAATTATATTAATTATATTTTAATATTATTATATTTTTTATTA